CCCCACCACCCCACACACACCCCCCCACCCCGGGGGGGGGGGGGGGCATAAACCAGGCTTCTTTCTTTCAGGGGGGACAGTTTGAGAGTTTGAGATTGCGTCTCATAGCCCAGCCTGACATGGAATTCCCTATGTTTGAGGATAACTTTAGACTCCTGATACACCCGCCTCCACCACCCAAATGCTGAGATTACAGATTACAGTCGATGCTTAGACATTGACTCTCTTCTGCCCCAACCTTCGGATTAATGACAAAGAGTTCTGGAAACTCAGTCACAGAAGTCAATACTTAAGGTATTTAGAGTATATGAGAAAGAACTAAGGGAATAGGATGAAAGTTTTTTTATGAGGTTACTTTATTTACTTCTTTCTTTATGAAACAGGGTTTTAATAAACCAGGCTGGCCTCAAACTTGCTATGTAGTGAAAGAAGACCTTGAACTTCTAGTCATCTGCCTCCAAGCCCAGTTAAAAAAAAAATGTTTTTACATTGAGTATGTGTATGAATGTCTGTGCACACACCCACATGGGAGCATATTAGAGGACGACTCTGACTTCTAGGAATTAGTACTCTCCTTCCACATGTGGGCTCTTGTGTTGAACTCTGCATGTCAAGCTTGGCAGCAAACACCTTTACCTGCTGAACTACCTTGTCAGGCCCCTAAGTCCAATTTTATGTGGTGTTTGGCACATGCTAGGCATGTGCTCTATCAACTGAGCTATATTCTCACCATTTTTGTTTTCTTTTTGAAACAGTCTTATATAGCCCAGTCTTGAACTTGCTAGTAGTCCATGATAACCCTGTGCTCTTGATCCTTCTACCTCTACCTCCAAAATAATAGGAGTATAGCATACATGTGGCCCCATGACCAGCTTGTTTTATGAAGTTTCTTTGGGAGCCATGAGAAACAGTTAATGTATCTATCTGTATGAGAATGGAAGCAATCAAGATGTAGGACAAGAAACAGAATGACCCATAACAAGACCCCTGACAGGGAACCTCAAGACCTCTCTGGCAGCTATGCATTTCTCCTTTTTAAGCTCAGAGCGAAAAAAGTTTTGTTTCGTTTTTAAATAGAATGAAAGCTCCTCTCAAGAGGAGTAATGACTCAGGACATATGATCTCAAAACCAGTTCTAGAGGATGATATAGCCTTTACACCCATGTCAAGGGGTGTCAACAGGGAGCTACATGGATCACAAAACGGGACTCCCAAGAGTTGGCAGTACCAGGGCTGGATAAAGAAGCAAGGCCTTACCTTTCCTGCAGGTCATGCAGACTCTGCTCAGCTCGGTGTAACCCTTCCAGATCTTTCATCATCTTCTTCATGTGCTCCTTGGAGTAACGGTTCTGAATATAGGCAAACCAGCAGCCGCCCACACCAATAACAATAGACACCACCAGCATGAAGTCCTTGAGGTGATTATGTCGAGTCACTGCCGGACAAGGGAAGGCATGGTGAGTCAGGGAACCCATAGCACACTTAGCTTGCAGATTCACTGCATCCTCTCCTCAATGACTCCTTTTGGGAAAGACAGGCAGACCTTTCAACTCAGAAGGAACTGATTCTCTTGGGCACATATGCCACCTACTACTATAATAAAGGCTATACTTATTTCTCCACCGCCAAGGCCTAGTTTGGATAGGATAATAGGCCTGAGGAAAATTTTAAAAGCTTACTAACTCATCCTTCCCTAGGATGCAGTGAAGAGAATAGTACCTCCTCAGTGTATCTCAACCATCTGTGGGATGGAATAAGCCTACACAACCATGGGGGTTCTATGAAATCAAAGACAAATCAGCACACCCTATTTCCATGCAAGGGAGGGGAATTACTAGGTCCAGGAGGGCAGCCATTGGTGTTTAATACAGGCTTTCTGACAGAAAACTGAAGATCCTTTGCAGTGGCTCTCAATCCCTTTGAGATACATACTTGATATTCTGCATATCATATATTTATATTACTATTGATAACAGTAGAAACATCACAGTTATGAAGTAGCAATGATACAATTTTATGGTGGGGAGGGGTCACCACTGTATTAAAGGGTGAAAGCTCTAATGGTTACTCTCTAGCCTCCAGTAAATCCTGTACTTCTATCCATACTCAAGCGTTATTCTTTTGTCCTCACATACAGTATGATATTTATTCAGCACATGAGTTGCTTTTCTTTCTGGAATATACTTGCTTCCTCCACAGTCTTTACTAAGAGCCTTGGATATTTTTTGTCTTTGCTCCTTGTTAAGAACTTCTGATCTTGGTTTGTTGAGACTCCTCGATGCCAACATCACCACATATACACTTTGGTATAGGACTTAAACTCAGGGCCTCAGGAATACTAGGCAAGTACTCTATCTTTGAGCTATACCACAAGCCCTTTTTACTTTTATTTTGAGACAGAATCTCATTAACTTGTTCATTCTGAGGTAAACTGAGTCCATCTAGTTCAGTTGGAACCTTCAGTTCACCCCTGCATGATCCAGAAAGCCCCATTCCTGTCTTTCTCTCTTCAAACCTCTGCCCTCTCAGAGAATCTTCAACAAAGAAACAGTGCCAAAAATGCCCAGTTACACATTCCTGGTGACTACTGAGACTTTCTCCCCTGTTGCTGCCAGTAGCTCAAGTCCCCACCTAAGCATTCTAGCTTTTGACCGTACTTGGGCACAAACCCAGCCTGTGGTAGGCACACCATCACCTCTCTCCTGCAGACTATATAATCCCCCTGCTTTAGTTTGGGTGAGTGGCTTCTCCAGCCTCAATCTCTGGGACTAGAAAACCCACCCAGGAGTTGCTTTGCTCAAATAAACCAGTTGTTATACTTCTTCAATTCAGTTTGATTTAGCTTACTTCATTGGTGAAGAAATTCATAATCCAGATACAGAAAACCTATTACTCCCAAGTACCTAGGATTACAGATCTGCATCACCAAGCCAAACTCCTTTTGCATTCTTTTTAAAAATTACATTCATTTGTTTATTGATTTATTTAAGGTGGATAGGGTGGAGGGCGCATGCCCTGCACATGAGAGGTCAGAGGGATCAATTTTCTCCTTCTACCATGTAGATCCTATGGAACTTGCATCATAAGGCTTGGGAGCAAGCACATTTAGCTCCTGAGACATATACATATATATATATATACATATATATACATATATACATATATACATATATACATATACATACACACACACACACACACACACACACACACACACACACACAGAGGTGAGAGGGTGAGAGGTATTGAATTCCTTGGAGCCAAAGTTATAGGCAGTTGTGAAGTGCCTGATATGTATGCTGGGAAACAAACTTAGGTCATCTTCAAGAACAGTATTCATTCTTAACCACTAAAACATCTCTCTAGCATCCTCCACCCCTCCACCCCTTTTTTCAAGACAGGATTTCTTTGTGTACTTGCTCTATAAACTAGGCTGGCCTCACAGAAATCCTCCCAAGTGCTGGGATTAAAGGTGTGTACCATCACTGGCTGGCCCCTTATGTTATTAACAAATGTCTAAAATGTATTGCTCACATGAAGTTGGTTATTAGATAAGCATACAAACTAGATTTAGCTATTTCACGAAATCTGACCAATTTCATGTTCTAGAACTCATTATGCAGCCCAGACTGGCCTCAAACTTACAGCAACCCTCCTGCCTCAATTTCAAGAGTGCTGGGAATTACAGGGATGAGCAGAGGTTCTCTGGGGTATATGTGACCTCTGCCTCCCAAGTGCTCAGATTAAAGATACATGCCAACATACCCCATTCTTCTTATTTTCTTGATATGTCCTTTGATACACACAAGTTTTTAATTTTGAAAAAGTACCATGTATCTTTTCTTCCTGGAGGCTGAAGAGATGGCTCAGTATTTAAGAGCACTGGCTGCTTTTGCAGAGGGCTGGGGTTCACTTTCCAGTACTCACATTGGACAGCTCACAACCACCTATAACTCCAGTTTCAGGAGATCCAATGCCTTTCTTCTGGCCTCTGCACCTACAATCATGTGGTGCACATACATACATTTAGCACCCCCTCATATACATAGAAAATAATTTTTAAGTAGTATCTTGAGGTAAAATTCATATAATACAAATGAACTGTTTTAAAATGAACAATTCACAGTACAGTCCCAATGTATGTTAACACCAACTCTACCTAGTTCCAAAGCAATTCTATCCCTCCAAAGTAAAACTTATTGCTCATAAATAAATAAAAGAGGGATAGGTGTGGTTTTATACATCTTTAATCCCAGCACTCGAAAGGAAGAGGCAGGTGAATCTCTGTGAGTTTGAGGCAAGCCTGATAAACACAGCAATCTCCAGGACAGCCAAGGCTACACAGTGAAATCCAGTCACTCTGTAGAAGGAGGAGATGGGGGAGAGACACCAGCAGCAGCAGCAGCAGCAGCAGCAGCAGCAGCAGTAGCAGGAAGAGAAAGTGGAGGAGGAAGAGAGTTGGAAATTTATGCAGCTCAATGGAAGAACACTGGCTTAGCATATGAAAAAACCTGAGTTCAATTCCCAGTGCCAAAAATCATCATCATCATTTCTCAGCTGTACAGCCTAGACAACAGTGATTTCAAGGTTAGCCTAGGAAATTTAGTGAGATTCTGTCTCAAAACAAAATTATGAAATGAGGTGGGCATACAGTTTAGTAAGGTACCTATCTAGAATTCACAAGGCCCTAGTTTGATCCAGGTGCTTAGAGGGAAAGAAAAAATCTGTAATCCTCTTGGGAAACTGAGGCAGGAAAGAGCTGTCAAGAATCCAAGACCATCCTGAGCCATAGAGTCCTTTTGTGGGCAGGGGTGGAGGGGTTGGAGTCCTGGGTTTACATCTGTAATCCCAGCACTCAAGAGACTGAGGATTTCAGCTCAGTGTATATCTGTGGATGTCTGTCTCTGCTTCCATCAACCACTGGATGAGGGCTCTAGGATGGCATAAAGAGAAGTCATCAATCTCATTTTAGGCTTTTAGGTTATCCTCTCCACCATTTCCTGGATTGTCAGATCGTGTCATCCTTGTAGGTCTCTGGAGATCTCCCTGGTTCCAGATCTCTTCTCGGACCTATAGTGGCTTCTTCTGATATGGTATCTCTCATCCTGCTCTCTCTCCTCTATTCTTCCCCCAACTCAATATTTCTGCCCCTCCATTTCCTCTCCTCTACTCCTCTTCTCTTGCTCTTATTGTAGCAGCTCCTTCCCCCCCTGCCCTCATGCCCCCAATTAGTTCAGGAGGTCATGCCACTTCCATTCCTGGGGACCATTTATCCCTTAGAGTCCTTCATGTTTCCTAGTTTCTTTGATGAAGAGGATTATAGGCCGGTAATCCTTTGCTCTATGTCTAAAATTCATATATGAGTGAGTACATACCATGTTTGTCTTTTTGTGACTGGGTTACCTCACTCAGGATGGTTTCTTCTAGTTCCATCCATTTGCCTGCGAATTTCAAGATTCCATTGCTTTTTTCTGCTGAGTAGTACTCCATTGTATA